TGTGGCAGCCCCTTCCTCCAGGAAGGCCTCCTGCCCTGCTCTGTCCCATTCCAGCTCTTGCTTCCCACTGGCTCATGTGGCCACCAGTCCAACTCCCGTGCACTCCTGGGGGCAAGACCAGAGTCTGAGTCCTTTTGTCCCTCAAGTATCACAGGGCAAGGGCTGCCACTGGAACAGGTAGGTGGTAGAGGGTCTGTGTGCAGCCAAGCATCTGGAACATCCACCTGTGTACATGTATGTCTGGGCACACAGTGCCATCCCATCCCATCTCAGGATATGATCTCCTCCCCCGCGCTGCCCAGCCTGTAGGGTTCAGAACCCAGCCCTACAGGAGTGAAGGGAAGCTCTTCTGGGGCTGAGGGTGGAGCGAGGGTACCACCACTACCTCCAGTGACCTCATTGCCTGCTGGCATTATGATGTCGCTGGTCTAGCATTCTGAATTCCTGCCTGTGCATCTCCAAGCCCCCAGGTGGGGGCACTCCCCTGGGGTCTGTGACAGCTCACCCCTGACCACAGAGAGGTGACAGGCATGGTAACAGTTCTGGGGTGGGGGGGTGTTGGGTAACTGGGTCACCTTGCCCTGGGCCATTCTTGTTAATTGCCCAAATAGAACAAAGGCAGTCACAAAGCAGGGTGACTAATACTTGGGCTCCAGGCTCAAGCTCTGCCCCTACTGGGCACCAGCTCTTTGACCTTGGGCAGACTGCTTGAACTTCAGTGAGCCTTAGTTTTCTCATCTCTGAAATTGGTTAATAGTTCTCTCCTTGGGTTCCGTTAACATGTGAAGCATAAGAACACTGGGACACAGTAGGTCCTCAATAAATGCAAGCTGATAGGATTAGTTAAGGGAACCGGAGTGCCAACTTTGGTTGACACTGGATCCAGGAGTAGAGGGTCTGTGCCTTCTAGGGTAGAGGCAGGGAGTGGTCCCCTGTAGCAGGGTGACCCTATTCGGACTTTCTCTTCCCAGTGTAGCCACAAAAGGTGTTGGCCCTGTGGCCAAGAACTTACTGCCCTCTATCCTCCTCTCTCCTTCTCTTCTCCCCAAGCCTGGTGGGTCTCAGCTGGTCTCCTTCTGCAGACTTGTCCAACTGCTTCTCTTGGTCCTTGTGCCCCTGGAGTCTAGGACTCTCAGGGCTGTGGATCTCTCAGACGCTGAAGACCTGAGCCCAGACTAGGTACCTTGGGTCCCTAGATCTCTCTGAGCCCCATCACCCCAGTTTCTGGTCCCCTGTCTGCCCTTTGTCCTCTAACTTTGACCCTTGCCCCCTCCTCACCAGGTCCCTTGTTCTCAAACCTACCTCTGTCTCTCCATTCTCTATCCCTACCACCTGTCTCTGTTCTTCTGCCGCTATGTCCTCCTGTGTCCCCATCTCTCCATGATTTGTTCCCCTGCCCCCTAGGCTCTGTCCCCGCCCGTCAGCCCCTGGTCCCAGCTCTCGCCCGCCCGGCTCCTGCATGGACAAAGGGGTCCTTTGTGGGCTGACCGCGGCTGGCGGGGCGGCGGGGCGCTGGCTCCGCATTGCTGATGAAACGGAGCCCTTTGTTGTCCCTCCTCAGGCGCAGTATTTCTTTTTGGGGGCTGGATGCGTTCCTGGCAGGGCCGATGATGGATGCGCCCGCCGCCGCCCGCCTGCCCGCCAGCTTTCCCTCCCGCTCATTCCCGCTCCGCTTCAACGCAGCCCCAGCTCCTCCCCTGCTTGCCTGGGCACTGCCAGGCCCTTACTGGCCTGGGAGAGGTTGCTGTGTGCCCTGTAGTAGAAGGCTGGGTCCTAGGAGAATGTCGCTTCCATGTCCTCCCCTTCTGTGAGTAGGGCAGACGGGGTCTGTGATCAGGGGTCCACTGGGACCAGGGCATCAGCTTTTCCCAAGGTCTGAAGGAGATAAGCAGGTTCAGGGGCAAATTTGGAACAAGCGTAAGGAAGAGGCCATGAAAACTAAATGCAGTTGTCTGCCCTTTCTGGGGTTTTGAGGACAATTAACCCCCTGGGGCCAGTCCCCCTTGTGTATCCTCCCCTACCTTCAGCTTCTGGAGCTAGCTGACACACCAATGTTCTTTCTGCAGCACCTGTTTAGTAACATCACATTCTCTGTCCCAAGCTCATGATCATGTTCCAGGAACTGGGGAGCTAAGGCCAGGTGGTCCCTGAGGAAGGACAGTAGAGGGTCAGAGAAATTCTAAGAGGGGGCCAGCAATGAACAGAACAGAAGGTTTGTACCCACCAAGAGAGACTCAGGATGGAGACAAAAGCAGGGCCTCAGCCAGAGCGCCAGCCCTGAACCAACGCGGGCCGCGGGCCGGCTGTTGAAGGGAGCTGACTTCTAATTGACCTGCCCGCCCCGCATGCAGAGCCAGATTCTGGAGCTGTGAGGAGGGAGGGAGCCAACGAGCAGAGCAAGAGCAGCGTTAATGCAGCTATTGATTTCTGCCACCAGCCAGCAGGCCACAGAAGTGGGGGACGCACGCAGGGGCCGGGGTGCAGAGTGCTCCCCGCCCTACCTCTATAGCGTGAAGACCCTGCCTTCTCCTGCCTTTTCCCTTCTGCTGTATCTGGAGCTGCTGGGGTGTGGTCCAGGGCATGTTGGCCTTTCAGATGAGCAGGAGCTAGGAGAGGTGACTCGGTGGTGACCACCCTCATCTCCACTAGCCCTGGTCCACTACCCCTAACCAGGGTCTCTGATGCCACCAGTCTTTGAGCTGAAAAATTGATCCTTGGACATAATGTCCTTTTGCTCTCACTACATTTCTGACCTCTGACCCCTTAGCCCCTCCAGGACACTGCCAGGCCCTCCTGGGTCTGTCTTGGACTCTGCCAGCTTGCCTGGCTCTTCCTCCTCAGGCATCTGCCTTCACTAGGGAGGAGTCTTGGTGGGCTCATGTCGCTGGGGAGGGCCAAGGAACTTGCGGCTCTTGACGCCAGCGTGCGTTGCCTCACTGTGGAGCTTTTTCCTTGACCATGTTCGCCCCTCTTTGTGGTCACTTGTTGGCAGTCTTGGGGCAGGCTCTGCCTGCTCAGGGTCTCCATTTCCCCCTCTATAATGCCAAGGACTAGATGATCTTCTGGGACAGGCTGAGTGTCGGGGGCAGCTGGACTGGGGGATGATAGGGTTGTCTGGGGACAAAGATCCAATGTGTTCCCTCCTTCAAGCCCAGGACAGGACTGGGTTTACCAGATGTGTGCCTCCCCCCTGAGCCACCAGCTGCTGGGCCCTGTCCTCCCACCCCTCTTCTGACAGGTGCTAACTTAGAAGCAGGCAGAGAAGGGACACTAGAGAGCCAGAACTGATGAGGAAACTGCCACCCTGCTCCATGTGGGCCAGTTCCTTCCAGCTGTGGAGGCTGGCTGCTCAGATGCCTTAGCCTTGAAGCCCGCGTACAGAGGCCTTCTCTTGGGAAGGGGCACCCGTGGAAGCGGCTGAAGGACACGCTTTTACGTGGCTCCACTTCTCTAGGGTCACAGCTGCCCTTGGTTCCTGCCTGCCCCAGCCAGGGGCCCCTCCTGCCTGCAGTCCACCCCTGGGTTCTCATGTGGACCTCACCCAGGCCAGACTCTTGACAGATCTTGTGAGGCCTCTGCCCCTACCATATCTGGGAGCCAGGCCAGAGCACAGCAGAGGCCCAAGTAGACATGAGAGTAGAGTCTGAGATGATAATGACTGTGGTTTGGGAGTTGAGGAAGAAGTATATGCATAGGCATGTTGACCCCCTCTCAGGGGAAGGCTTGTCCTCTGGTCCAGTGCTGCCTGCTCTCTAGTAGGAAGTTAGATGTTCCTTGAAATAAGGATTCTAAACCTGGCCTGTGTCCTCCCACCAACTTAGGAGGCTGAGGCAGGAGGATTGCAAGTTCAAGGCCAATCTTAGCACCTTAGCAAGACCCTTAACAACTTTGTAAGACCCTGTCTTGAATGAAAATAAAAAGTGGCCAGGTACAGTGGCTCATGCCTATAGTCCCAGCAGCTTAGGAGACTGAGGCAGGAGGACAACAAGTTCAAAACCAATCTCAGCAATTTACCAAGACCCTGTCTCAAAATTTTTAAAAAAAATAGAAAAGGGCTGGGGATATGGCTCAGTGGTTAAGCACCCTTGTGGTTTAATCCCTGTTACCTAAAAATAAAAAAGTGCTGAGGATGTAGCTCAGTGTAGAACACTCGTGATTTCACACGCGTGCGCCACACACGAAGGAAGGAAAGAAAAGGAAGGTTTCTATACTCTGTTGGCAGACTCTGGGGACTCTGGTTTATACATAGCAACCAGGTTCCTTTTCCTCTAGTACTTGTCAGAGCCTTGAAATAGCAGATGTATATTAGAAATCTCCAAACGAAAATCCAGGAGCAGCTTCCCAGACTTTTTGGTATATACCTTTAAGCACTCCTCTCCCTAGGAAGGTCCAGGGAAGGAAGGTTAGAAAGTAGAAGTGACCCTAATCCTAAGCACTCCTCTCCCTAGGAAGGTCCAGGGAAGGAAGTTTAGAAAGTAGAAGTGACCCTAATCCTCCAAGGTTAATAAGTATCTCCAGTTCTTTTCCACCCCAGCAAGGAAGGAGTGCCTGTCTCTGTCAGGTGTTCTAGAACAAAGCAGGACAAATCCATGTCTTGGAGCTGTGGTCTGAGCCTGCACTGTGCCACCTGAGACCCATGTGTCCATGGGCTAGTAATTATTATTATTTTTTTTTCCTTTTTCAGCGCTAGGGATGGAGCCCAGGGTCCCATGCATGCTAGGCAAACACTCTGCCATTGAGCCCCATCCATAGCCTGGGCTAGTAATACTCTTAGACCTTGTTTTCCACATCTGTAAAATAGAGGATTACCAGCCACTACTTTGCAGGGTTCTTCTGAGTCTTAACTGAAGTAGTACAAATAAAAAATTCCTTAACCAAGGTGGGCTTGGCACTTAATAAATGCCTCATCAGTCTGGTGGTTGTTACTGTGGTGATGGTGGGGAAGTTGAAGGAGGAGGGATTTGTTGCTATTCTCACCCTATATCCTCTTGTCCCTACAGAGTAAAGACTCTTCTACGGGGACACCTGACCATGTGCCGGCCCTGAGAAGCAAGGCCCACCAGGCACCTCCTTTGTGGGCAGCAGGGCCAAACACTTGCCTGTGAACCCCAGCAGTTGGCAGCCTCCCTCTGCAGCAGGGTCCGGGCCTGGGCCCCACCATGTCGAGCCTCAGCGGTGGCTCCCAAGAGGCCGGCGGCAGTAGTAGCAGCAGCAGCAGCAGCAGCAGTACCACCACCACCACCAGCAGCAGTGGCAGTGGCCCAAAGGCAGGAGCAACTGAAAAGGGTGCGGCAGTGGCAACTGCTGCGTCAGCCTCGGTGGCAGATGACACACCACCCCCAGAGCGTCGGAACAAGAGTGGCATCATCAGCGAACCCCTGAACAAGAGTCTGCGTCGTTCCCGCCCCCTCTCCCACTACTCTTCCTTTGGTGGCAGTGGTGGCAGTGGCAGCCTGATGGGCGGGGAGTCTGCTGACAAGGCAGCGGCGGCTGCGGCCGCGGCCTCCCTCTTGGCCAATGGTCACGACCTGGCGGCAGCCATGGCGGTGGACAAAAGCAACCCTACCTCAAAGCACAAAAGTGGTGCTGTGGCCAGCCTGCTGAGCAAGGCAGAGCGGGCCTCGGAGCTGGCAGCTGAGGGACAGCTGACGCTGCAGCAGTTCGCGCAGTCCACGGAGATGCTGAAGCGCGTGGTGCAGGAGCACCTACCACTGATGAGCGAGGCGGGCGCTGGCCTGCCCGACATGGAGGCCGTGGCGGGCGCCGAGGCCCTCAATGGCCAGTCCGACTTCCCCTACCTGGGCGCTTTCCCCATCAACCCGGGCCTCTTCATCATGACCCCCGCAGGTGTGTTCCTGGCCGAGAGCGCGCTGCACATGGCCGGCCTGGCCGAGTACCCCATGCAGGGAGAGCTAGCCTCTGCCATCAGCTCGGGCAAGAAGAAGCGGAAACGCTGCGGCATGTGTGCGCCCTGCCGGCGGCGCATCAACTGTGAGCAGTGCAGCAGTTGTAGGAACCGAAAGACTGGCCATCAGATTTGCAAATTCAGAAAATGTGAGGAACTCAAAAAGAAGCCTTCCGCTGCTCTGGAGGTAACGGCTCCTTAGAGGGAGGTGTGTGGGCTCTTGATCCGTCTGGCAGTCCAAACCCATCCCCCAGCCCCGGAGCCCAAATTTCCTACCTGGGCGAGTGTCTGGGGGAAGGCCCGGCCAGTCCTGGGGCCTGGGGGTCTGGCTTCAAGACACCAACCAGTTCACTGCCCTAAAAGTCAGAGCCACATCCTGAAACCTGAACAGGCTGTAGTTTGCAAGGCACTGGGATACCGATGCCCCACCTGGGCTCTGGGTCAAGGATTGACATTACCATATAGGTCCCGTTTCTCTGAGACATGTCCTACAGCATCCAGTCCGTGATCTGAGATTCTGGAACTGTCCCCTGTCCCATTTGAGGGATTCTGTCCCATGTACCCATAGAGCTCAGCCTTTCCCCCAAGGTCTCCCAGGGGTAGAGCAGCTCCAGTCTAGTCTGCCCTACGCTGAGGCCTGGAAGATTCCTGAATCTGTGCACCGAGTTCACGGATTTTGGGGCCTGGGCTGGGGTGGCCATGAGCCTGGATACAGTACAGGCAAGTCAGCAAGGGCCTGTCTACCATGGGGTGGGTTTAGAGAAGGCATAGAAGTTCCCATGCTGCTTTCTCTCCACTCTGTGGCAGGGCCTGTCTCTGTGCCCCCAGACGTGACAACCTAGCTGGAGTGCCAGGCCTGGGTACAAAGCATCTTTTCAGCTTGCTCTGTCCCCTGCCCCTGGCACCGCCCCTCTACCAGTGGGCTTGACGCAAATCTCCAGAATGGTTAGAAAACAACAATGGTATCCTGGCCATGGCCCCTGGCCACCCCCTCCAGCCCCAGACCTCATGGGTGTGTTTGCCTATGTGCAAACAAAGGCACCCACTTTCGTCCGGTGTAGAGAAGCACGCACACCTGCCTGGTCCTCATATCTCATTATAGACACAGCTGCTTGTTGACCACCAGTTACCCTCTTTCCCCACACCGTTCCACATGCACCGCACAGTCTAGCAGAGCGCGACAGACACCCCCTGTACATAGCCAGTGCACACGCTGATTTGACAGAAACATGGACACAGCCCCCAGATTTCGGCATGGCCACCGGGTGCTCGGTGCCTTTGGGCCAGGGGAAGGGGTTTTCCTGTGGAAAGAGGGTTCCTGGGCACAGTGGCTCGGGAGGCCTCAGGATGCTCTGGGCCCTCCAGCGGTCACAGCTCCTTCTCTGGCCTGGCCTGGCCAGGATAGCAGGAACTCTGCGGGGTGGCTGCCTTTACTCCAGGCCTACCCCTCCACCATGAGGCCGTCCACGGGGAGCATCTTGCGCTTGGCCCACCTGGACCCTGACTGAACTCTCTCCTTGTTTTTGTCTCCCGCCCCGCCAGAAGGTGATGCTTCCGACGGGAGCCGCCTTCCGGTGGTTTCAGTGACGGCGGCGGGAACCCAAAGCTGCCCTCTCCGTGCAATGTCACTGCTCGCGTGGTCTCCGGCAAGGGATTCGGGCGAAGACAAACGGATGCACCCGTCTTTAGAACCAAAAATATTCTCTCACAGATTTCATTCCTGTTTTTATATATATATTTTTTGTTGTCGTTTTAACATCTCCACGTCCCTAGTATAAAAAAGAAAAAAAAAAAGAAAAGAAAAAAATTTAACTGCTTTTTCGGAAGAACAACAGCAACAACAAAGAGGTAAAGACGAATCTATAAAGTACCGAGACTTCCTGGGCAAAGAATGGACAATCAGTCTCCTTCCTGTGTCGATGTCGATGTTGTCTGTGCAGGAGATGCCGTTTTTGTGTAGAGAATGTAAATTTTCTGTAACCTTTTGAAATCTAGTTACTAATAAGCACTACTGTAATTTAGCACAGTTTAACTCCACCCTCATTTAAACTTCCTTTGATTCTTTCCGATCATGAAATAGTGCATAGTTTGCCTGGAGAATCCACTCACGTTTATAAAGAGATTGTTGATGGCGCCGTGTAGAAGCCCCTTCTGTATCCATCCACGTGTGCAGAGCTGTCGGTGGGAGCTCGCTGCGGGGAGGGGGCACCGCCCCACCCCCAGGCCCAGGCCAGCCATGCTACACCCACTGTCCCTGACCGGGATCCCCCCACCCCAATCGTGATGATTTTGGAAAGATGAAAGTTCTGTCTGTTTATCCACTGAGATCTGGGGGGGCCTGTGTCTTGATATTTCCAATCCTGGCTACTTTCCCTTAGAGAAAATAAGTCCTTTTTTCAGCTTCGCTAATAGCAGCAGAAGAAAGGGCTTCTTTGCGTGGTCCCCTGCCGGTGGGGGTGGGTGCCCAGGGGGCCCCCTGCGGCCTGGGGCCCCCTGCCCATGGCCAGCTTCCTGCTGATGAACATGCTGTTTGTATTGTTTTAGGAAACCAGGCTGTTTTGTGAATAAAACGAATGCATGTTTGTGTCACTGAAGCACCACTGGCTTCTTGCTCTCTGGTTTTGGGGGGGGCTGGTTTGGGGCTTTCTGGGACCATCTTGAGGGGGGAGAAGGGTGGCCCAGGGATATTTAGAGTGAGGTCTCTTGGTAAGAGAGGCCTTCTGGATCCATCAAGGAGCAGCCTGGAGAAAGGACAGAAATGGCCTCCACTTGGAAAGGGCTTATACTGAAGCACCCCACCTGCCTGCTCACATCCCGGACCTCAGAACCTGGGCCGCCAGGATCCTCACTCACCTGAAGCCATGTTCTCTTTTCCCCTAGATTAATCAGGCCTCATGGTGCAAAGCAACCTGCAGTCTTGGGGAGGGGTCTGGGCTGCCTCTTGGGATCCCATTCCTTTCTTGTGCCATGGCAGGGATCTAGTACTTCCCCAGCCACTGTTCTGTTCCCCGGGAGACTGCTCCAGCCTGAGCCCCGGTTCACGGTGGCCAGGTTGTATCCAAGCACACAGAGACCCCCTCCCTCCATTCTTCAGGCCTAAGAGTTACTAGACTTGACTTCTGGGGAAGTCATCACACACAGCCACAGGGTCTAGGAAGCCACATGCTCTAGCCTGAACAGGAAGGAGTGGCAGTTGCATGCCCTTCTCTACATATCACAGAGGCCAGCCTGAAAGATATTTCCTATCCATCCACTGGGGAAAGCATTATTTTCACCCAGCTGCTTTTGAGCCTGGCAGAGATGGAGGCTAGACTTAAGGAAGGACTTCCTGACAATGTTAAAACCCTGCTTCAGGTGGGTGAGGGATTTCAGAACAAAGGAAGGGGCAACTTCTAAAGCTGAGTGGGTGGTGAGGGTGGGGGAAATGGGCTGTCTGCCATTGTTCTGGGAAGGAGAAAGCAGGGGGGTGGGGTGCTGACCCCCAACCTTTTCCCGGGTGTCACAGGCTCCCTTGGAGCACCAGGGGCTCAGCAGCCTGGCCTGGCACAGCGGGGGCAGGCGGGGGCGGGGAGGCAGCTTTCAACTGCATCTCTGCCTGGGAAAATTCCCTTTCATGTGGCTGCCTGTGATCTCTCCAGGCGGCTCTGCCTAAGGGGGGTGTCCAGCAGGGAGTAGGGGGAGGTGTTGGCAGCTGGGGGGCACCCTCACCCTTAGCACAGGCAGACTGCAGCACCTCCAGAATCTCAAGGGGGTGGGGAGGACCCCCAGGGCTGTGGGAGGGGGAGCCCGGCCAGCAGGGGGCACCGGGCTGGCTGGAGGCCCCGCCTGCCTCCACCAGGGCTGGCAGCACACTGGCTGCAGATGGCCTCGGCTGGCCCTCATTGGCACGCCTGCAGGTGTGGGGTGGATGGCTCTGGTGCCAGTCCCGATGGGGGGGTGCTGTGACTCAGCCGGCCTTGCTTTTAGTGTGCCAGCCCATGGCCCAGTTGAGTCGCATGGACCCACCTCCTAGCCCAGTCACCCAAAGTTCAAAGTCCCTCACCTCTCCCACCTCTTGCCTCCTGGGTCTGGAGGAAGCCAGGAGGAGGACATAGCTGTGAGGCTGAACATGTGATGAGGACTCATTTACCTCATCCGGGAAAGGGGACAATAATCATCTCTCCCACAGAAAGTGGCCTGAGGGGAAACTGAGATCACACAAACCACCGTCAGCACTCAGGCAATGGCAGCTGCTCTTACTACTTAAACCTCTCCAAAAACGTCTCCCACCTCTGCTTAGACTCTGCATCCTCCCTGCCGCCCTAGCCAGCCAGGCCGCCCACCTCCATGGTGTGGCCAGCTGAGGCCTTTCCTCCCCAGCCCCAGCCCCAGCCCCAGCCCGCTGAGCTCGCCTGGCTTCCTTTGCCTCTGTCTGCAGCTCCAACTTGATGGTCTCTGGCTCTATGTGTCATGAGTGTCTTCATCTTTTGACACCTCTGACCTCTGTGTGGCACTCATCTCTCCTGGCTCCACACCTCTCTGTAGCTGGCAACTCCATCCCCATCTTGCAAGCCTACAAACCCTACCCACTGCTCCCCTGCCTCACAAGGCACTTAGAGGCAGACTTCCCTGGGGGTAGTGTGCCCTTTTCCATCCCCTCCAGGGTTCCTCAATTCCCCTTTGCTGCAGCTGGGAGCCTGACCTCCTAGTGACCTTTTTCTTTTTTCTTTTTCTTTCTTTTTTTTTTTTTTTTTTTTTTTGGTGTGGGGGGGTCTGGGACACATCCCCAGGCCTATTTTTGTATTTTATTCAGAGACAGGGTCTCACTGAGTTGCTTAGTGGCTCACATTGCTGAGGTTGGCTTTGAACTCGCAATACTCCTACTCCTGTCTTAGCCCCCCCAGCTGTGGGACCACAGGCATGCACCACCGTGCCCAGCAAAATGGGGGTTTGAGAGGCTGGATGTATGGATGTTCTGGACCTAAGTCCAGCTCCTGTGAGGACCCTGTGTGTGTGTAAAAGAGATGGAGACATGCTACGAAGCCCTGAAAAGCCCCTGAGGTCTTACACAGCAACATGGTTATACTTGGCATCAAGTGTGATATGAAAATGGGTGTGTGACTGTGTGGAAGACTATGATATGGGACCTCCTGTGACCACAGGTTAGTATATGACACCAGTGGCCACACTTTGGGATGTTCTGTGACATTGCTTGTGTGATCCTTTGACGCAATCCTATAAGAGACCCAGTGTGTTACCAGGGTGGACAACTAAATGTGTGACATTGATTACAGCATTATTGTTGTATGGCATTGTGTGGCCCTGTGACAAAACTGGGTTATTATATGAATGTGTAACACTGTGTCCATGAGACCATTCATGGATGTGGCCCTGAGACTGACATGGATTCTCTGTGTCAGTGTGACCTCGGTTTGACCATGTGATACTACCTAAATAATGCTGGCTGTGTGCCATGACACCATGTCAGTGTGCACCTGTGATCCTCAGTGATGGGGACACTGTTGCCATGTCTTGACTTCCTTGTCTTTCCTGGGTCTCTGCCCTGACAGCCTGCAACTCTAGAGGGAGAGCAGGGCTCTGGCTGTCTCTCTTATCCCCAGCCTGCCCCCTCGCCTGGTCCTGAGGCGCAGTCTACATGGGGGAGCTGGCGTGGGGGCAGCAGGCACAGTTCCCACGGCTGCTGCGGCCCCTCTCCCAGACCCATCACTGCCTGCTTCAGCTACACAGAATCCTGGCAACCCCAACCTCTTTGTTCTCTGTGACCGCCAAAGGCCTCCCTCAACCTGGCCTGCCCATCGCCTGGCAGCACCCCCTCCCCATTACCCCACCACAGCAGCCAGGCCTGGCCTGACCTAGTCTCTAGTCACCCTTATCAGAGACCTCTGGGGCCTGATTCAGGATTCCAGACAGGGCCTTTGGACCTCTGCTCTGAGCTTGCTATGGTTGATCTCTGCAGGAAAAAGGAAGCAGGACAGCTTCTGTGGCTGCACTGGGTAATTGTTGGCTTTGAACTGGGCTCTTTGTCAGGGTACTTCCCCTTGGCCCAAGGCTTGTTGGAGGCACAGACTTTAGTCTGGGACAGTTTCAGTTTACGAAGTAAATTTACTTCATTGATTCCAAGAAGTCATCAGTACTGGGATTATTACCCATTTTATAGATGAGAAACTGAAGTCCAAGAAATTAAGTGACTGGCCCATAAGCAAGATGGTGTCAGAGACCTAATTAGAACCCAGGCTCCCAGCTCCTAGGGGAGGAGGAGCAGCTCCTTCCAGGAGAATGCAGAGGGGGCATGGGAGTCTGGACATGGGTTCCCCCTCATTTCTTGGTCATCATGTCAACACTGCATTTTGTGCATGTGTGTTTGGTGTGTGTGTCTTTGCTGGATGATCTTGGCCAAATGCCCTTGCCTCTGTGTTCTCAGGAAAGAGGGACAACATAGCCAGGGGGTGTAGAAGAGAGCCCTTGCCAGCGTGTTTTGCAGAGCAACAAGATCACCTCAGTTAGTGCCAAGACCCACATCTTTCCCAGCAGGGACATGAGGGTGGTGGGCCTGGGGGACTGTGGTTTGAGGGTCCAGTCTCCATTCCTAGATTCAGCCCAGCTCACATTGTCACAGAGGAGATGGCGATGGCCACGGCTTGAATGTAGTCAAGTCCATTTGCATCTGACTCGATGTAGCCCCAGCTTCCCACCCCTCAAGGTGCCAGAGATGGATAGATGGAGGTCACTGCACAGCCCCCCCCCCAGCCCCTCATTGCCCGCCCACAGCCCTGGGCTGACAAGCCACTGCTGGGGACAGCCAAGGTTGGGGGAGGAACAGGCAGCCACCAGCATGGTGATAATACAGACCTTGACCCAAACGCCCTGCAGACAGGGAATCAGTGGGGCACAGAGAGAACTTGCTGTCCCCCAAGGTCACACAGCCTCACAGCGAGTCCTGTCCCTGGAGGCCCACACCTGCCTTGAGGGTTCTTCTTGCTGGGGAGGATAGTGGGGGCATAAGAGGGTCCCCTGAGGCTGGCCAGGCTGCCAGAGCGGACACTTTCATCTCTCTCCGCCTGTCGACCTGCCATCTCTGAGCGGCATTAAATTCCGCTCCTGCCGGAGAACAAGGGCTGCCTCAGATTCCAGGCAGCAGGGCGTGAAGACAAGGCGGCCCAGGGGAGGTGAGCCAGGTCCTCCAGGGCTCTAGCCTGGGTGCAAAGCCACTGGGCCGGTGGGACCTCATCTGGGGGCTCAGGTGGCCATTACCCCAGCCTCCAATGCTCAATGAGATGCACCTCTGTTTCCTGTCCCCATCTTGTCCTTATGGCAGCCTTCCTCCCACTTCAGGTAGCACGCGAGACCTTCCTGACCCCTACTGTGTCAGGTTTCCCTGAGCCCCCCTTGCCATCACAGGGCTGACCATCGAGGGCACCACCTTGGTAACCCATGGTCCTGTGGCTCAGTAAAGGAAGTGTTGGCAGCTCACACATAGAAGGGGTGGAAAGCCTCTGTAGGCTAAATAAACATCATCTCCTCTTTCTGGGCCTTTTCCCTCCTGTGCATTTCTGACTCTAATTGGGGTGCTGATGACAGGTGAGAGAGACTTAGT